CCCGCAGTGCCCACCTGCCCTCCCCTCCCGCAGTGCCCACCTGCCCTGCCATATCTAAAATCCACCCCTTTCTGCCTGTGTTCCCTGAGCCCACGCCCAGCTCCCCCAACCTTTACCCTCTGTCTTTCCCAGGGCGAGGATGGCTTTCCTGGGTTCAAAGGTGACATTGGTGTGAAAGGAGACAGGGTGAGTGGAGGTTCCTGCCCACCCACTTCCCCACCCCATCCTGCTGCGCTTCCATTTGGAGCTGCTCTGTGCTTCCTTGAAATGGAGACTTCTCTCCACCTCCGTGTCGCCTTTAGAGCTGTGTCCCTCTGAGATGGCCACCATATTGTCAGCCACACTGGCCCCTCCGGTCTCTCCCTGTCCCCACACTCACCTCCCCACTCTCCTCTCAGGGTGAGGTTGGAGTCCCTGGTTCCAGGGGAGAAGATGGCCCTGAGGGGCCGAAAGGACGCACTGGGCCTACGGGAGACCCTGGACCCACTGGGCTCATGGGCGAGAAGGTGATGGGGATGAAGGAGATGGGGGATAGTGGCTCGGCCACGGGCCAGGCTGGATGTGGGGTGCCGGCTGACTCCATCACAGTTTGCCTCTGTGTGCGGTGCATCTGCTGGTCCCAGTGGCTTGAGTGGGGGTGGGGGTGCATGGAAGTCAAGGGAGAATCCTTGGTGTGGCAGGCACAGGGCGTGCGAGCTGGGGTGAGAATGTGGAGAGGGGAGTCAAGGGGAAGGGGAGGTCTGCGGCCTTGTCCTGCCAGTCATGCAGGTAGCCCCACGACAAGCCTGCTTCACAGAAGCGGGGGGGTGGGAGGACACACATTAGGATGGTTGTGAGCCCATCCCTAAGTGAAGGGCAGAGCCAGGCTGTGAGCTGCAGGGCCCTTGTTTCCTACCCCAGCCCTGCAGCCCCTTGGTCAGGGTCATATGAGGGGCATTGGGAGGGAAGGACCAGAGGGAGGAGCTGGGCTGGTGCCCCCCCCCAGGGAGGGGGGAGGCTGAGTACAGCAGTGGGCGCTGGGGTGGGTGGCAATGGCTGAACCACAGACTCTGCAGGACTCCATCAGGACAGAGATGGGCTTGGGACGTCTGCTCTTGGGGTACTACAGAAGCCAGGGCCTGTGGGACTTCTGCAGCCAGTGTTGCTGCTCGGTGCCTGTGGCTCCCGTCCTTCCTAATTGTGTTCTGTCCTTCCACAGGGCAAGTTAGGTGTTCCTGGCCTGCCTGGCTACCCCGGACGCCAGGGTCCCAAGGTGATGTGTTGCCCCCTTTCTGTCCTCTCCTCATTGTCCTCTCTTTGACTTCTGACCCCAGGAGGCATAGACTAGCAAAGTGTGGGGTTCCCTAGAGTGGAGTTAGCTGATTCCCATTTTACAGATGACAAATAGAGGCCCATAGATCAGCAGGGGTCTTTCCAAGACCACCTACTTGCTGGGAAGGCCCAGTTGGCACCATGGCTGCCTTCATAGCTTTTCTTCACCCTCTTTGGCCCTTCCCAAGCCCCCTCCTCTCATCTTCTTCCTTCTCCATCCTCACCAGGGGTCCCTGGGCTTTCCTGGTTTTCCTGGAGCCAGCGGAGAGAAAGGAGCTCGGGTAAGCTGGTGGGCAGGGAGGTGCAGAGGGAGGAACGGGGTGTTGGAGAGGTTGCTGTGGGACTCTTGCCTTGGCTAATGTTTGCTTGGCTTTATTCCCACCAGGGCCTGTCTGGAAAATTAGGACCTCGGGGAGAACGGGGCCCCACGGTGAGTGCTGTGGGCAGACACCCATTACCGAATGGCTCCAGATCCAAGAGGTGGGCTGGGCAGGTAGCTCAGTGGGTAGTGACCGCTTGTGCACATAAAGTCGTGGGTTCGAACCCCAGCACTACCTCAGCTGAGCGTGGCTGTAGACTCAGGTAGAAGCGAGATCAGATGCTTATGTTCACCCTCAGTGACATGGACTTTTCAAGGCTCAAGGATGTTTCTACCGTTCCCCCCTCTGTCTCCCTAGGGCCCGAGGGGTCAGCGGGGACCTCGAGGTGCCACTGGGAAGTCTGGCGCTAAGGTGAGCAGACTCAGTACGGCTGTGTCCATCCCCTCAAGCTGGGCCTTGAGCGTTCCCACCCCATCCACTGTCTTCCCTTGGGCAATGACGAATAAACGTCCACCTCACTCTCTGCCTGTTCACCCCCATAGGGAACATCAGGTGGTGATGGTCCCCACGGGCCACCCGGAGAGAGGGTGAGTGTGGCTTGAATGCTCCATCTCCCATGCTCATTTGTACAGAGTCTACATTCACTCATCCCGTCCCTGTCTCTAGGGTCTTCCTGGTCCCCAAGGCCCCAATGGATTTCCTGGCCCCAAAGGCCCTCCGGTAAGTTGACAGCTAACTTGTGACCTGCCTCCCTTCCTTCTCCCCCATTCCTCTTTCTCATCAAGAGTTCACCTGACCCCAAACTCTTTCCAGGGCCCAGCAGGGAAGGATGGGCTGCCGGGCCACCCAGGCCAGAGGGGAGAAGTGGTGAGTGATTCCAGCGGTATAGGGTGGGAAGGGGCTTGGATCCTGCTGCCCCAGCTGCCCCGGGAGCCTGGTACTTCCTGCTCCATGGCCACCCACCCTTGACCATCCGTGTTCTAACTTCGCTATATCTCTTTCCTCTCAGGGATTCCAAGGAAAAACCGGCCCCCCAGGACCCCCTGGAGTGGTGGGACCTCAGGTAGGTTCTCCCAGGAGAGGATGCACCCCAGACCTGGAGTTCGGGACTCCTTCCCCCAGTCACACAGCCCTGCTGACTGCCTGGGCAGGGACCCTGGGCTGAGGCCCTGAATTTCTGCTCCTTCTTGTGTGGGTCTCTCTTGGAGAACTTTCCCAGCTGTGGCACAAGGTGGCGTGGTCACGTCACACTGGGGATGCTGAGCCCCAGCAGCCAGGAGAGCATCAGTGTCCCCAAAGGCTTTTGGGGAAGACTAAGGAAGGGGTTCTAGACTGGCACTTTCCGGGGTGCAGAGTGGGGTCTCAGGGTCACAGAGCTAAGTTTAGACTGTGCCATTTCCAGGGAGCAGCTGGGGAAAGCGGTCCCATGGGAGAGAGAGGTCACCCTGGCCCCCCAGGACCTCCTGGAGAGCAAGGACTGCCTGGAACAGCTGGAAAGGAAGGCACCAAGGTCAGTGAGGGGGCGGCCACCAGGGAGGTGTTGGGGGGGATGTGGGAGGCTTCAAGGGGCCGGACACCAGGGAGGTGTTGGGGGGTGGGAGGCTGCAAGAAGTGGACCAGTGTGGATCTGAGAGGTCAGAGACCTCTGTTTAAATTATGGTTGATCACGCCTCCTTTTGTTTCAGGGTGATCCTGGTCCCCCTGGGGCTCCAGGAAAGGATGGTCCCGCTGGTCTGAGAGGCTTCCCAGGAGAGCGAGGCCTCCCAGGCACTGCTGTGAGTGTACCCCCAAAGCCAACAGCCTATAGTTTCACTCTTCTCCTGGCTCCTTGATCGTCCTCCCTGCTTTCACCTCACTGAGCCTACACTTTCCAGCACATCTTTTTAGGGTCCCCTGCCTGCGAAGCCTCCCCTTCCCATCTCACCTGTTGCCCTAAATCTGGTTCACAGGGTGGACCTGGCTTGAAGGGAAATGAAGGTCCAGCTGGCCCTCCTGGCCCTGCAGTGAGTCTGGGGCCCCTGGGAGGCTGTGGGTAGGAACCAGGAAAGGGGACAGATGTGTGGAGGAGGAAGCTGGGCAGGATGTGGCAGGAGCCGTGGGCTGGGCAGAGGGGATTTGGGATCAGCCAAGATGCATCTGATTTACTGTTTTTTCTGAGATCCGTGGTCGGGGGTCCTAGGGTCTCCTTCCTGGAGGGTCTGACTCCATCTTTCTCTCTCAGGGCTCCCCTGGGGAGCGAGGTGCAGCAGGATCAGGGGGCCCCATTGGTCCCCCAGGGCGTCCAGGCCCACAAGGTCCCCCTGGAGCGGCGGGAGAGAAAGGTGTCCCGGTAAGCATGGGGCAGGGGGCTGTGAGCTGTGAACTGAGGGGTGATGGATACCCAGGTGTTTTGTGGAAGTGCTTGAGGGTGAGGCTGCATCCTTCCCTTGTTCCTTGCAGGGTGAGAAGGGCCCTATTGGTCCCACTGGCCGTGATGGGGTGCAGGGTCCTGTGGGGCTTCCTGGTCCAGCGGGACCCCCAGGTGTGGCTGGAGAGGATGGAGATAAGGTGAGACCCTACAGTCTTCTCTCCACATGAGACTGCTGACCTCTGACCTCTATCTAATTTGCATATCTCCTTTTTCTTGTATCTCATTACCTTCTCCTACAGGGTGAGGTGGGAGACCCAGGACAGAAGGGTACCAAAGGGAACAAAGGCGAACACGTAAGCATCCGTGACCTTGACTTTTGACCTCCTGACTTTTAACTTCATCCCACCCTTGATATGACCTATCCTGGCATCTCTGACTTCCTTTCCTCCCTAGGGCCCACCTGGACCTCCTGGTCCCATCGGTCCTGTGGGACAGCCCGGAGCTGCGGTGAGTGCCTCTGGGTCTCCACAGAGGCCCCAGCAGACTCTAGCCTGCCTCAGTTTCCCCCTTGTCCTTGTGTCTGATGCTCATGTCTGTGTGAGTTTATGGATGGCGGACACGTGACCCATGACCTATCACTCTGTCCTTGTCCCTGCTCCAGGGAGCTGATGGGGAGCCTGGAGCTCGGGGGCCCCAGGGACACTTTGGAGCCAAAGGCGATGAAGGAACAAGAGGATTCAATGGGCCCCCGGGACCCATTGGCCTCCAGGTGAGCGGAGATGGGAACAGGGCCTGAGAGGTAGGCTCTGGGAGGGTCTGTGAGTACCCTGCCAGTCACCCGCTGATGAAGACAGGGGAGGTGGGGACAGAGGACTGTTAGGGGCTGAGTGACAAGGGTTGGGTGTTGGATGGGCTGGTCACTGGGTCTGTGCACAGGGCCTGCCAGGACCTTCTGGAGAGAAGGGAGAAACAGGAGACGTGGGGCCTATGGTGAGTGTGACCCTTGCTGACTCGAATCCACCTGCCACCCAGCCTGTCCCCAGCCTGACACTCCACTGCCGACCTCATGGCTTGCATGTAGCCTTGCCATCTGCTCTCTGCCTGGACCTCTGCTCACACAGCCCTACCGTCCTGCTCAGCCATAGACTTCCTTCTCTCCCTTCCTTCCCCATCCTGATGTGTTCATACCCCACCCACCCAGGGACCACCTGGCCCTCCAGGACCTCGCGGCCCCGCTGGACCCAATGGTGCTGATGTGAGTCATCTTGTCCCTTGTCCCCCTGTCCCTTCAGACCCATGTAGTTGAGTCCTCTGTCTCCCTTCATAATGGCTTTTCTTCCTCTTCCAGGGCCCACAAGGTCCTCCTGGAGGCATTGGGAACCTGGGTCCCCCTGGAGAGAAGGTAGCTGAAGAGGGGTGAATGGACCAGTCTTGGCAGGGGGAATGGGGTTAGATTTCTGCTTATTTTTGACAGAGATGTGAGGTTGTCAGGATGTGGGGGGGACTTTGATGCTCCTCTCTTTGTAGGGGGAGCCGGGAGAGTCTGGGTCTCCAGGCGTCCAGGGCGAGCCGGGTGTGAAGGTGAGTGGCAGTCCTGAGGCCTTGTCCCCCACACCTTTTGTCCTTCGCTGTACTCTCGTCCTTCTCTCTGACCTGGGACCTCCACCTGCTTGATCCCTGGGCCTGAAGGAACCCAGCCACCATTTCCTGAAGGGAGGAAGGGCCAGGACATTCCCCATAGGCCTCACCATGATTGTCCAGTTGTTACCAAGTGGCTGAGGGGAGGCTGAGGCTGTCTTAGACTATTTCCCTGACTTTCAAGACTCCCTTGAGACCATCTGTTCCCTTCACTTGCTCTGCAGGGTCCGCGTGGTGAGCGTGGTGAAAAAGGAGAGGCTGGGCAGGCGGGAGAGGCTGGACCACCAGGGCCTAAAGGCCCTACAGGCGATGATGGCCCCAAGGGGAACCCTGTGAGTTTGGGGAGTGAAAGGAAAGTCTGAGAATGGGAGACCCCAGGACATCGGTGTGTGGGGGCATCGGCACCTTGGAATGTGGGGAGCCTGAGGGCGGGCTGGTCCCTGGGAGGGAGGCTGTGGGGATGGGTGCTCTCCCATGATTTGGGAGCACTGAGGAGGCTAAAGTGATGGGCAGAGGGGAGGGGCACAGGAGACCCTCCTCCAAGGGCGACGTGTCCGTGGGGCTCTGTGTTGGCTCTGGATGGCCTTAGGGAGCTTTGGTGTTGACCTTGTTCTTCCTTTGGATTAGGGTCCCGTTGGCTTTCCTGGGGACCCTGGGCCTCCTGGAGAAGCTGGCCCACGGGTGAGTCTTGTTGAGGGAGGAGGGAGGGGAAAAGGCCAAGATGGTGGGGCTTTATGGGTTGGCCTCTCTGTAGCAGGTGGGCCTGGGTCTCGAGGGTGTGGCAGGGTGAGAGCAGATGGCCGGAGTGAGTCTTGACTGAGATGCCAGTCAGGTTGGGGACCCTCCCCTGACACTTTTCACCCCTTCAGGGCCAGGATGGTGCTAAGGGTGACCGGGGAGAGGACGGCGAGCCAGGACAGCCTGTGAGTGACCGGTGCCCCTCTCTTCTCACTGACCCTTTGGGCCGTACCTGTTCCCAGAGGTCCTGACTGGATCCTACTCACGCTCCTCATATCCTTTCTCTGCAGGGATCCCCTGGTCCCACTGGGGAGAATGGGCCCCCTGGACCCCTTGGGAAGCGGGTAAGTGATGCTGACTCAGCTGCCTGTCCTTGGATAAGGTGGATGGAGGCGAGGCAAAGGCAGGTGATGGGCAGGGAGAGACTGTTAGCTGGTTATTTGTGATACATGCGGCAGGCCATCTTTGGTGTGCTTGGTGCCTTGCGTGTTTTAGCAGTGGGTGTGGTTGCTCCGGTCTTCAGTATTTGTGCGTGGCCCTTTCTAAGAGTGCATGTGTGTGTGTGTGCATATGTATGTAGGTTTTTGCATGTGTGCGCGTGTGTGCATGCAGCAGGAGGGGCTGAGTTGAGTCTGGTTATTGACTCTCATTTCCTCCCTGTTCTCTTCCTCAGGGACCTGCTGGCACTCCTGGTCCAGAGGGACGGCAAGGAGAGAAGGGAGCCAAGGTGAGGGAGAGGCCACCCTGGGTGCTGGGACTTACCCTCCCTTCTTCCTCCAAGTTCTATCTCCAGATGCCTTCCCTATGCCCCCCCTTCCCTGCTGAGTCCCCCCTGTTCCTCTGCCAGGGATCCTGAGGTGTCGTCCTCTCCTCCCCGCCTCACCCTTCTGCCTCAGACCTCCTTCTGCCCCCTTCTACCCCCCTCTGCCCCCCTCTGCCTTGAGAACAAGTTCTTTCTGTGTGTTTCAGGGGGACCCTGGTGCTGTCGGGGCCCCAGGAAAGACAGGCTCGGTGGGTCCTGCAGGCCCAGCAGGAAAGCCTGGCCCTGATGGTCTACGGGGGCTCCCAGGCTCAGTGGTAGGTTGCAGTGTGAAGGAGTTGGGAGGGTGAAGACCGTGGGCGGTGTGTAATGTGGGGATAGCCCTCCTGACCCCGCGGTGTTCTTTCTTACCTTTAGGGTCAGCAAGGCCGCCCTGGAGCCACAGGTCAGGCTGGGCCCCCAGGTCCTGTGGTAAGTAACTAGGATATATGGGTGGCTCGGTAGTGACCAGAGCCAGGGAGGAAGTCGAAGGTTCTGGGGAGAGTGACTTCTTGTCTCCCTACAGGGACCTCCAGGGCTTCCTGGCCTCCGGGGTGATGCTGGAGCCAAGGGGGAGAAGGTGAGTGACAGATCCAGGATCATGGTCTCAATCCCAGGTCCCATGGGAATGGCCAGTGTCCACTGCTCTGCTTCAGGCCCCCAGTACCCAGTCCTTGGGGTTCTTATTCATGTCCGCTGAAGCTTTCCCCAGATCCCGTGCCCATCTCCCTATCTTCCTGCCCTTCTCCATCTGTGTAAGGTCTTTAAGAATCCCTGTGACCACCTTCCCC